TCTTCTCTCCCCTCTGAAGACTCTTCACAGCCTCCTCCACTCAATGTACCTCTAATGTGGAGCTTAAGGTTCTCAAACTAGCTTTGAAGAGGCACCTACCTATGGGCACACACACCTCCCAGAGCAAACAGCAAAGGAGTGGACAAGATATTCATTTAAAGAGAGAAAAAGAGAACAAAAAAGAGAGAATCCTGACCTAGAAAACTAGTGGTGCAAAGCCAAGCACACACTCTGGGCCCCCTAAAAAATTCTGGGTAGAGGGTGTACCTTCTCATAAAGAAAAGAGAAAGAAAGAAGGACAAAGCCACCCGACTGGCCCTGAGTGCCCAGCCTCTCCCGGGAACCCTGCAAAGGGCCTGGCTCTATCTTCAACATCCCTCTATCCTGGCTGAGTCTAGAGAGGACCCCTAGATCACAAGGCCTCTGGCTTCCCCAGCGCAGGGGCCCGACTACGCCTCCCTACCTCCCCTCTTCCCTTTCACCTGCTACTGTCCTTTGGGACTTTTCCAAACAGCAACTTCTGGAGACAGCCAAAGAGATCTCGAATGCAGAAGGTAACCAGGGCGTTGAACACTGCAATAGAGGGACCACAGATTCCATTCACAGGACAGAAGATGGAGGAGAGAGCCTGTATCCCATGTCCTCTCACCCCAGCTCACCAGCACTGTCCGTGACCTGGAATTTGCTGGCTTCGGCACCTTCTTGGTCTCCTTGGGTGGTGACCACAGCAGCTCGGAATGCCTGCACAACTTCGTGGAACAGCTTCGGAGTAAGGTGATGCTAAAGGGGTTAAGAGGACCCAAAATGTTGGGGGAGAAATCAGCTGTGTCAGACAGAGCATGAGGCAACCAGAGCTCCAGAAACCTGCTCTATGAGAGAATGGCGCCCCTTGCCCACATTCTGAGATGTGGAAGCAGTGTTATGGAGCCACATTCAGGGAACAAAAAAGGGAGTCCAGAATGTTCCTGGAAGGGCAGGGAGCCTGGCTCAGGGCCATAAGGGAGAGGCTGAGGGTCCCAGATCTGGATGGTGACCTGTGACAGGTGGTATCTAGAATTCTCCCCCTGTCCTTTCTTTTTCCTGCAGAAACCAATGCAAAACCCTGGGAAGAAGGGCTCTGGCTCCACTGACGGGCAGAGGCACAGAGACTATGTCTTGCCCACAGTGGATTTCAGGCAGCAGGGAGCCTGAGACAGAAATTGAGGGGAAGAGAGCAGGAGAGCCCCTAGACTCTCTGACTGAAGGACAGAATGCAATCCTGGAGCCTCTCAGCATAAAGAAAGAATTAAGTGAGATTCTCTGGTGCCAAAGAGGACTCCAGTGCCAGTGCTCAGAGAAGGGCTCCTCCCAACTGCACAGACCCAAGTAACTGAAATGAGGCCAGCGCAGACTCGGAAAGCAGGGTGGGGGCGGTGGGGGTGTCCAATTGCCCACCCTATGCCACTCCTCACCTTTGCTGCCTGCTTCCATCTCTCAACCATCACAAGGGTCACAGGAGCAGAATCTCTTCTCTTCCCCTTCAGTCCTCTGGGGACCCCATCCCCATCTGCATCTTCCCCCTCCACACTTGCTTCCTGCACCAGACAGAGGGCCAGGCTGCAGCAGGATGTAGAGGCCATAAGTGTGGCCCTGCCCCCACCAATTCTGCCTAGGCCCTCACTTCCAGCGTATCTGGCAGAGAGTGGAGCTGCTCCTCTTCATCCTCAGTGCTGTCTGAATCACTAAAGTTCAGCAGGCTCTGGTCATTCTCCTGTAGGAACTTGTAGAACTCGGGATCTTTGTCCTTCAGCCGAGAGAGCTGGTCCTTATGCTCAGATGCTCGACCTTTATGCCGGCTGAGAAGGTGGGGGCATCAAGTACAATGGATAGGCACAGCCCACAGGGGTCGGGGAAATGGGATGAGGCTTCCTGTCCTCCACACTGTAAGCTTGCCAGCCTCCACAGAGAAGCTACAGGGCTCCGCAACAGCTACCAACAACCAAGGCAGGGGGATCTCCAGTGTTGAGTTTTCAGCAGATCCCCCCTCCCCTAAACTCCAGACTCACGTATCCAACAGCCTCTCTACACCTGCATTTCAAACCCAACACATACAACACTGAACTTGTGCTTCTCCCAAACTTGCTCTGCTGGCACACTGCTCCATCTCAGGTGTCGGTAACCCTACCTTTCCAGGTACTCAAGTGAAAGACAGCCTCTCTACCTCTTATGCCCAGCATGCAAAGTGCCATGAGGTCTCATCAGCAAAACCCCTTCAAAGCCCCTCATGCCTCCTCTTAAACCAGCACCATCCCCCGGTTCTCCCAATTACCACCAGTGGTCTCTCCCTATCTCCGTGCCCACCAACTCCAAGCTACTCTCAACACAGCAACCCAAGTGACCCTTTGCGTTAATGCCACGTGACACCCTTTCACGGCTCAAAACCCTGAGATAACTTCCCACTGTACTGGTATGTCTTATAAACGGCCTGCCAGGTCTGACTCCACCGTCACCTCTCCAGGTTCACCTCCTACTACTCTCCCCCTCGCTCCTCCTTAGACACTCACCTGTGTAAGACCCGCCCCCACTTGCGGAGCTCTGCTGTGCCTGACCTGAAACACCACAGTATTCGTCCCCCGTCTGCACGACTTCCTCCCTCAGGCCTCTGTTCGGTTACCACCTCCGCAAAGGTCCTCCTCCACCAGGCAGCAACAGGAACCCCCAGTGTGCTCCCTACTTATCCGACCCTTTGTGTTTGTCTTTACCGTTTGCCACACCTCTCTCTCCTAGCCGACCGCCCGTCTGATTCAGCCTCTGCATGAGCTCTTCCAGACCAGAAAAGGGCCCTTTCACGACGCACCAACGTATGCCCACCACCTAGAACAAGGTTTGCCGGGGGCGCCTGACGCTTGCGGGTCGGCTCGGGTCGCGATCTCGGGCAGAGGGCTCCGCACTCAGCGGGGAGGCTACTGGAGATTCTTGCTCCCCTGCCCCTGCCCCCCCGGCCCCCCGCGCGCGGTTTCTCCCCCTCTCTCCTAAAGAATCTTTTAAAAAATATGAGTAAATAAAAAAAGGCTCGTCATAGAGCAAGGCCTCAGCAAACACCGGAAGAAAGAATGAATAAGCCGAAGGGCCTGGGGGAAGGGTCGGGGTCCCTGGGGTTCAGTCCCGAGGCCCCAGGAGTGGTCACCATCCGGCTGATGGGCTGGGGCCAGGGCAGTGGAAAGGGTCTGGCTCTCCAGACGTCCCAAGGGAGACGCGCCTCTCACCTGGACGACGGGCTCCCCCCCAGCCCAGCCAGTCTCCGGTCGGCTCCAGACCCCGCGCGCGTCTCGGCTGCCGCGGCCCCTTCGGACTCCGACTCCGACTCCGAATCAAAGCCCGAAGCCCAGAACTCGTCCACCGTCAGTTCTGCCAGGCGCCTGCGGGTTACGACGTCGCAGTCAGGGCTCCCCGCCGCCCGGCATGCCCCTGCCCTGCTGCACCAGGAACACGGAGATGCACAAGGCGAGCCCCTTGGGTAGAAGCACCCACCGGAAGGCCGAATTGGTCCCCAGACCCTCAACTCACCGCTTGCCAGCCCGCGCCGCCGCCATTATTGCCAGACAGCAGCGTGCGCCCCACTTCCGGCCCCAGAAGGCCGTCCGTTAGCCGCACTTCCTCCGGGCCGGCCCCGCCCTCGGGCCCGCCCCGCCGCGCCGCGCCCCACTGGTGGCTTTAAGTTTCTCTAACGGTGGCTCTGGTGGCATCCAGGCGGGAGGGCGCATTCACATCCTCTGCGCTCCGGGCTCCCAGGGTGGCAGGCCGGATGCAGGCTAACGGCGCAGGCCTGGTTCAGTCACGGTTCCCGCACACATCGCCGAGTGTCGGGCTGTAGATCTCGAAAATCGGGCAGGACTGCATAGGGTGGAACCCTGACCTGCTGCTCACAAATCTGTGTCCTTCCCGGTACGAGGCAGTAATAGCGGCACCTATCTGAGGGAAGGCGAGGCACGGGACCTGGGGCATCCTCTCCCGGCCCTAACAACAGCCTCCCCGGAGCTCCATAAGCACGTGCTGGTGGGGATGTCAATGCACGACAAAATGCATCCAGGTGAAAACATTTGACACACAGGACTTCTATGCAAAGAGCTCTTACAAATCAATAATAAAGAGCCAACAGTCTAGCAGGAAAAGCAGTCTAGTAGAATAGGCAATGCCATAGCGGGGGCAATTCGCCAAAAAAAATGATACTCTGATGGCCAGGACGGTGTCGACTGGATCAAATGAGGATCAGAACGATGAGAGTCACTTCTACTTCACTGGACAGTCCACAGCAAGGGGTGGGGGGCAGTGGACAGATCCCAGAGCTGTTATTGAAGCCCATTTGGCCAAATCTTCCCGAAAGTACTGCACCTGATACTTCGGTCCACCAAGTCCTCTGCTGGGAATATTCCTAAATCCACAATATGGGGCCGGGCAGGAACGGCCGCTTTTCCTTTGCCCCGGCTGTGGGAAGGGCAGGTACAAAGGCCCAGTGGCTGGAAGAAAGGAGGCGGGAAAACCAGATTATGCCCTCCCATCTGCCCCCCCCCCCCCCCCCCCCCCCCCCCCCCCCCCCCCGGCAGCTAGCGCCCAGTTCAAGGCCTGGTACGTGTAGGGATTCATGGAGCGAACCCAGCAAAAGCCAGCCGGCCAAAGGGGTCTGTCTGGGGTCACAAAGGGGGCAAGGCAGGATGTGGTACCGGGCCGCCTCAGGCCCCAGGGGCAGCAGGGCCTTCGCAGCTGCGGGCCCAGGGTGCTTACGGGGGCGGGGCTTCTCAAACGAATTGGCGGGGATGGATGGCCCGGGAGGTTTCTCCGAGGTAGGCGGCGGGGGGGGGGGGGGGGGAGCTTCCTGGAGGAGAAAGCGGGCGGGGCGCCCGGACACTGACTGGGAATATTGGAGGGTTGTGTTCAGCCCCCGAAGACGCGGGGAGCGCGGGAGGCGGGGCGGGCGGCGCCGAGAAACAGCGACTGCGGGCGGGCGGCGGGAGCGAGGGACGCTGAGCCGGCCGCCACCGCCTAGCAGTCCTCCAGCAGTCAGTACGTCCGTTCGCCTGTGCGTTCTCCGCGGGTCGCGGCGGGTCCGGCAGCCGAGCCCATGCAGCCGCGCAGCGAGCGCCCGGCAGGCAGGACGCAAAGCCCGGAGCACGGCAGCCCGGGGCCCGGGCCGGAGGCGCCGCCGCCGCCGCCGCCGCCGCAGCCACCGGCGTAAGTGGGCCGAAGGGCTGGGGACCGTAAGCCGGACCGGGGGCTGAGTGGGTCCGGGAAGGAGACAAGGAGGGGCGTGAGCCGACCCTGGCTGGCTGTCCGGAGGAGGCGGCCTCGGCGCCCGGCAGGCTCGGCCCGCCGGTGGAGGGTACAACTCCCCCTCTGTTTATCGCGCACACAGCGACGTGGGACAGGGCGTCCAGAGGTGGCTGCTTCCTGGAGGCTCTGTCCTCTCCCGCCGCCCTTGAATTCCGGCTGCGCCGCTCAGACTTAGGCGACTTGTCTGCAGGATGGGGGGCAAGGGGGGGGTGGAGCCGCTCCCGAGGGTCAAGTGAGGTTAGACCTGCTGGTGGGCATAGGGGTCTTCTTCAGAGCTGTCATGAGGTATTAGCCACTTGCACTTCATGCACATCCTGTGTGCCCAGCCCGTGCTGAGGACACTGGACTCTGATGGGGAATGGGAAGGGTGGCCAGTGACAGAGGAGCTCCTGGTCCCAACGAGGGCAAAGGGAACCTGGTTCTTATGAGAGTTACAGGCAGAGAAATCCTATTCTCTGGGGACCCCGGGGGCAGAGGGGAGTATGGTGCCAGGAGGGGTCCTGGCAAAGGAAGCTGTGTAGCTTCAACTCTGGCATCAGGTGTGTGACCTGGACCTCATGCTAGGAGCAAGTGTGAGGCAGTTTTGCCGCACTTCAAGGAGGCTCCCTGTATGTGAGAGAGAAGAGTTGGGGGGAGGGGGCGTTGGTCCTTGATGGAAGCCAGGTATGGCCTGTCAGGGAGAAGGGTGGCCTCCTAGGTACCCTGGCCCTGCCTGCGGTTTCAGGGGTGGGTGAGCAGCTCCCTGCAGAGTGCACCTGACCTGGCACTGCCCATCTGCAGCCCGGAGGCAGAGCGCGCACGTCCTCGGCAGGCCCGGCCCACGGCCCCAATGGAGGGTGCAATGCAGCTGCTGAGCCGTGAGGGCCACACTGTGTCCCACAACTCCAAACGGCACTACCACGACGCCTTCGTGGCCATGAGCCGCATGCGGCAGCGTGGCCTCCTGTGTGACATCGTCCTGCACGTGGCGGCCAAGGAGATCCGAGCACACAAGGTGGTGCTGGCCTCCTGCAGCCCCTACTTCCACGCCATGTTCACAAGCAAGTACCGCCACATCCAGTCTGGGCACTCGGGGGGCTCCGCAGATCTCCCGGGGCAGGGACCGGCCTGACCTGCTGTCTCCACAGATGAGATGAGTGAGAGCCGCCAGACGCACGTGACACTGCATGACATTGACCCTCAGGCCCTGGACCAGCTGGTGCAGTTTGCGTACACGGCTGAGATCGTGGTGGGCGAAGGCAACGTGCAGGTGAGGCTGCCTCATCTCACATCGCACGCCTCTACTGGGCCCCTGGGCCTCAGCTCCCGGGGTTTCCTTGTGCCTCTCCCTCAGCTCCTCGTGTCCCGTTTCCCTGTCCCTGCTCCCCTGGCTCTCTCTGTCTCATCTCACCCCACAGACTCTGCTCCCAGCTGCCAGCCTCCTGCAGCTGAATGGCGTCCGTGACGCCTGCTGCAAGTTCCTGCTGAGTCAGCTCGACCCCTCCAACTGTCTGGGCATCCGGGGCTTTGCCGACACGCACTCTTGCAGTGACCTGCTCAAGGCAGCACACAGGTATGTGCTGCAGCACTTTGTGGACGTGGCCAAGACCGAGGAGTTCATGCTGTTGCCACTAAAGCAGGTAACATGCCAGCGGGGCATGGCCTTGACCCTGACCCAGTCCCAGCCCTTGGACTCCTGGTTCCCTTCATCTTGGCTCTTAAGACCTGGCCCTTTGGCCCCCAACCCTTATTTCCAGCCTCTGACCCACACTCCTGCCTCACTACCCATCCCCTGCCCTCCCCCCCCCACCCCCTTCTTCTGACCCACCCAAACCTTCAACTTTTGACTTCTGATCCCATCCTGTCCTGACCACATCCCTGCCTACAATCTCCAGGCCCTGGTTCTATACTCTTAGGATTGTTCTGGGCCTAGGCCCCTAGGAACCAAATCTGTGGTTCCTGACCCTGCTTGACCCCTTCTCATAGGAACACTGGGCTCCCCATTGGACTCTTCCTCCTGGGCACCTTCAGGGCTCCATGGGCCCCCAAGATCCTCCCTAGATCTCAGGTCTGAGGGTCCCCACCCCCAGGTGCTGGAACTGGTCTCTAGCGACAGCCTGAACGTGCCTTCAGAGGAGGATGTCTACCGTGCCGTCCTGAGCTGGGTCAAACATGACGTGGATGCTCGGAGGCAGCACGTCCCAAGGGTGAGGCCGGTGCCTAGGGGGCCCACTGTGCTTAGGAGGGGATACACAGTGGCTGAGGGCCTGGGTGCACTTGGGCTCTGCCGTGTCCAGAAACCCCCTCACAGGAGTGATGCAGACACATGTTTCAAGAAGGGTCCAGCGTGTCTGAGGGGGATCTCTTCACTGGGGCCTGCCACCTGACTGTGGCACCCCTCCACCCCAGCTGATGAAGTGTGTTCGCCTGCCCCTGCTGAGCCGGGACTTCCTGCTGGGCCACGTGGATGCTGAGAGCCTGGTGAGGCATCATCCTGACTGCAAGGACCTGCTTATTGAGGCCCTCAAATTCCACCTGCTGCCTGAGCAGAGGGGTGTTCTGGGCACCAGCCGTACACGGCCTCGGCGCTGTGAGGGCGCTGGCCCTGTGCTCTTCGCTGTGGGTATGTTCACCTGTCATGTCTCCTCATGTCTGGGCCCCTCCCCCACATACCCACCTTCTCCCCTCCCATCCCTGACCTGTGCTTTCTATCTGTGAGCCCAGCACAAGCCTATCTCACACTATGCTGGTCACATCCCGTGCCCACCCCACACCTGCTCCTCTGTCCACCTGTGGAGGACCCCACGTGGTATGACCCACTCAGCAATCCCCATCCCCACCCACCTTGGAGCCTCCATACTCTTGACCTTGAGCTGCGCTAGAGACCCCCAGCCATTGCCTCCCTGGGTCCCTTGTCCTGCCCCGTCACCTCCCCTTTCCTAGGTGGTGGGAGCCTGTTTGCCATCCACGGGGACTGTGAAGCATATGACACACGCACTGACCGCTGGCACGTGGTGGCCTCCATGTCCACGCGCCGGGCCCGGGTGGGCGTGGCCGCAGTTGGGAACCGGCTGTATGCTGTGGGTGGGTAAGTGTGGAGGCTGGTTTTGGGTCAGGGGCTTAGCATGTGCCCACTGGGCCAGTCCTGACCGGCAGCGGACCCCTCCCCTAGTTACGATGGGACTTCAGACCTGGCCACCGTAGAGTCGTACGACCCTGTGACCAACACCTGGCAGCCTGAGGTGTCCATGGGCACGAGGCGCAGCTGCCTGGGTGTGGCTGCCCTGCACGGGCTCCTGTATGCAGCTGGTGGCTACGATGGGGCCTCCTGCCTCAACAGGTAGTGGCCGGGGTCAGGGCCGGGTGGCCTCTCGGGGTTGGTTCGCCTGCAGGTGTGGCTGCATCAGGACTGCAGAGATCATGCCTGAAGGGAGCAAAGAGGGATCCAACCTGACTCAAGTCACCAGGGCACCTTGGGCCTCTTCATCTGCACCAGCCCAGCCGCCCTTCTTTCCCTCTCAAGTTCTTCCCACCAGCCAGGGGCTGGGCACCACATGGACACTTGCCCAGGATCATGCAGGCCACCAGCTAGGGTCCCATGTCCCCACCCAAAGGGCCTGCTACTTGCTCCAGTGGGATTCTGGCGTCAGTCTCTGTGACTGCCCAGGATGGGATTTTAATCATTCCATGGGGGAGGGCAAGTCGTGGGACCAGGGCAGCCTTTCTGCCACTGCTCAAGGTCAGCGGCAGGCCTGGTGTCCACAGTGCTGAGCGTTATGACCCTCTGACGGGAACATGGACATCCATCGCCGCCATGAGCACCCGGAGGCGATACGTGCGTGTGGCCATGCTCGGTGGGTAATAGGGCCTGCTCTAAGTAGTGTCCACCCCACCCCCACCCCTACCTGCCCCCACCCTGGAGACCCCACACATAGCAGGCACACCACGGGCGTGTTGACTGTCTGCAGATGGGAACCTGTTTGCTGTGGGTGGTTACGACAGTTCATCACACCTGGCCACTGTGGAGAAGTATGAGCCCCAGGTATGGAACACACCCCAGTCACACGAACTTCCCCTCTAAGGGCTACTTGAGGTCTTTGCTCTGGTCACCCACATCACCCAGATGATCAGCCTTCTAGGTCCCACCCCATCCCACAGATACCCTATCCTGGAGTAGGGTTCTTGCACTGTGGAGAAGGAGGGAGAATGGTGATGGGTCTGCCCCCAGCTGGTCCCCTCAACCGCAGGTAAACGCATGGACCCCCGTGGCCTCCATGTTGAGCCGACGAAGCTCAGCAGGGGTGGCGGTGCTGGAGGGGGCCCTCTACGTGGCCGGCGGCAATGATGGCACCAGCTGCCTCAACTCTGTGGAGAGATACAGCCCTAAGGCCGGTGCCTGGGAAAGTGTGGCACCCATGAACATCCGAAGGTGCGCCGGCCCCTCCCCCACAGGCCTGGAGTGTCCCCATGTCACCATCACCCACCAGAGACACAGATCTGTCTTAAGGCCTCCAGCCGGCGTGGTGTGTCCACGTCTCCCATCAGTATACACACCAACCAGCCTCGGGGCCCCGCCCCGCCCCAGGGCCCCGCCCCCAGAGGCTCCTCCCGTGGTCCCGCCCCC